TTTAACTTGAACGAGCAAAATGGTAAGGGTGCTACAAATCCACATCCATATCCACATCCATATATATATATATATATTAATATATATATATATATATATATATATATATATATATATATATATATATATAACCAATTATTACCAAATGATTTTTAGGACTTAAAGTTGGTTCAAACTCAAACTAGCTTAAAAGATAAACAATTTGACTTGCTTGTTATAGCTAATTGAACGTGTTTATAGTGAATAATAAAATGATATTTTTTTAATCTTTATTATATTTGTCTTTAAGGGGCTCTTTTTTTCTTTTCGTCTCGGGCCCCATATACGTTTGGACCGGACCTGCCTCAATCAAGAAAACGATCAAGTTCTAGTGGAGTCAAAACCGAGGAAAAAATCATTCAACAACAACCCTTTTCTCTAAATGTGGTAGGAGGGATTTTGAATTCTTCAAATTCAATCCATAACCTGGTTTAAGAAACTGTGAGGAGTTATTTACTACCATTGTTAAAGGATTTGCTCGATTTACAAAACATGGGTGGTGATAATTTTAGGGAATTAAGCTATAAGGGATGAATTTTGATCCTTTTTCTCTTTTCTAACAATTTGTTATTGTCTTCATACTGATCTGGGTTTGCTCCATGTCTGTGATGGAAATTGTGCAAATAATTCCAAGGAGCAACTGGGTTTTTTGATTGGGTGGAGGTTAATGGAGATTGAGGTGAGGGTATTGAAATAAACGAAAGGAGAGAGAGAGAGAGAGAGAGAGAGAGATGGGGTGGATATGTGCGTCCAGTTTATATTTAATAATAATAATAATAATAATAATAATAATAATAATAATAATAATTTTAAAAAGTGAAAGAAAAATAAAAATTAAATTAATTAAGGGTATAAAAGTCTTTTTAGTTTGGACAGGGACCAAAATTGCAAGTAAACTAACTCATAAGGACCACCAACTCAAAAAAATCGAAGTTTGGACTAAACATTAGAAAAAATGCATACCACAATGACCATTTTTGCAATTTTGTCTATTATATAATTAAATTATATTATAAATAATAGAGTAATTTACAAAAATGGTCTATTTGGTATGTAAAATTCGCAGTATTAATCCAAATTTTAGGTTGCATCCTTCTACTTTTCAAATCTTGCAAAAATAACCCTTCAAGCAAATGTCATTAGAAATTAAAGGTCAAAGTGTAAACGGAAAATATATATTTATATTATAGGTTTCTATCTATAAAATACAAGGATCAATATGTACTTGGACAAATAAGTGATAAATTCCTAAATGTTAATAGCCATCTTTCATACCTCCATGGATCTAGATGCAACGCCACTTCCTTTTTATCTTTATCTGGGATATAATCGTCTCTTACTTTTAGCAGATGTTGCCACCATCATTTCCATTAATTGTCATAACACCACTTTCATCTTCTACCATCATAGCTATCATCTTCATGCATTGTTTCCAACTTCTTCTATAACATCATTGTCTCCTTTGATGGCACAACATTATCTAGATGTTGCCCTGCCATCTTTTATAGGTGGTTGTGGGTTTGATCTTTCCAAAAACTCGATGACAATCGATTTATGGTTTTTATTTCACTTTCTCATTTGTGATTCTTGAACTTATTTACTTTAGTTTTTTGGTATGAAGACGACGATGAATTATAATCTGATTTTGGTTTTTATTTTTGCTTTGCGCTTTGCCTATGATTTTTTGGTTCACTGAATCTAAAATGAACATTAAAGATAAATCAATGTTTATTTTTTTATCTAGTATCTGGTATCGTTTTTGAAATTTGCATACGAGGAGAAAACAATGATTGTAGCAGTTGGTGATAGCCGATAGAGAATATGATTGTGGTTAACCGGTGATAGTACTAGGTGGGGTGCACTACTAGAAAATTAAGTAATTACCTACAACAGAATTGGTAGGAAATCTGTAGGAACAAGGCGTTACCTACATATTTTCTACAAAAAACGGGTTGTAGGAAAAACCCTCGTGGGTAATTTTTCATACAAATTAGCTACAAACGTTCCTACGTATTTCCTACAGAATATTCTATTACAAATTTAGCTACGGAATACCTATGGAACACGTTAACTACTGAGTACTTACAGATTACCTACGGGTTATTTAGCTATGAAACTCCTACAAAATATATACGGATTATTTTACTACGGAATACCTACGAAATGATTTTCCTACAGAATACCTACCAACTACTTTACCTACAGATTACCTATCAACACCTTTTCCTACGGAATAACTACCAACTGATTTTCCTATAGAATACATACAAACTACTTTACCTACATATTACCTACCAACATATTTTCCTATGGAATACCTACAGATTTTATTGGATTTTATTTCCTACAGAATACCTATTGAATATTTATTTCCTACAAATTTTCTATGAATTTTTATCAGTTTTTATTGCTATATTAAATTTATAATTCCTACAGAATATTTATTTCCTACAATTTAGTAAAAAATCTATTGCTATATTAAATTCATAATTTAAAAAATATCCAAATTTTATGTTAAAAAACCAAATAAATAATTAAAATAATAGTCAAATACCATTACATTCATTACCATTAAAATAGTCACTAACATACCATTCATACAATCAAATACTCAAAATACCATTACAATACCATTACAAAAACTAAGAACCAGTCAATAACATAATACTAATTTAGTGTTCTAAAACAAAAACTAAGAACTACTTTGTGGATTACTGGGCGGATTGATTTGTTTCATAAAGGCCGCCAATTGTCGTTGCACTTGCATTTCCATTTCATTTCGCATTTGTTGCATTTGCAAATTCATTTCACTTTGCTTTTCATCCATGGCTTGTTGCATGTTTGACATTTGTTGTCGCAACTCATTTACCTAAATAAAGCAAGACAAACACATGCAGTTAGTAAATGTAATTCAACTTTAAACCATGATAGCAATGTACTTTACTTTTAATTCAATATTAAAACATATTATTCATAATAACAATGTACATTGTTTTTAATATCCATAATAATAACTTCTAATATGCATAATAATAACATACTATATTTTTATCCATTATTCCATTGTATTTTACATTTCCAATCCATAATGTCAATGTACTTAAATTATTATCAATAACAACAATTTACTTTACCAAATATCAATAATAGCAACATACTATAATTTCACCCATTATAGCATTATGTTTTACCTAATTTAATAATAGCAACATAGTATCATTTTCAACCATAATAACAATGCACTTTACCTAATATTAATAATGGCAACATATTTCAATTTTCACCCGTAACTACAATGTACCTTACCAATATGAACATATTTTTTTTCAGTCATATTAGGTACCTATTTACTTGATTTTTTTTCTCTATAATATATTATGTAAATAATAGTACCTCCTGTTGTGACTTTGCAAAATCAGCAGAAGCTGAATTTAACTCATAAGAATATGCACCCGTCATCAGAAAGTGAAGATTCGAGTATCCTGCCCCATAGTTACGACCTTTTTGTTTCCCGCCTTTCCTAAGCAATTGTGTTTGGGTCCATTATTCAGGATCATTCACATTATGTTGAGTCGGATCATCACCATATTTTTGAGATAGGTCTTTGTTATATGATTCCTACAATATACCAAAAGAAAGCTTTTATTATTGAACTAAAAAGTAAAAACTAATATTAGTAAATATATAAAAAGATAAAAATAACTTACGATCGTCACCCTAGATGTCTCATTCACAAAATTCACTAGCGCCTCTTTATCTCCCCCAAAATATATTTTCTTTGATTCGGCGGTATGATGTGTCTTATAATAAAGATCAATGAATGAGGGATCTTCACCCATCAACTGTTTCTATATAAACAACACAACATAATTGATGTAATTAGTCTTGAAAGAAAATTTTATCACTAAAATCTATAATTATGATTACTTACCAATTTAAGACGGTGCTCCTTAAATCCAATGCTACCACCCGTATATCTGACTGCCCCCCAGAATCAGTGTTACGGTTTTTTTTTCCGCTTTTGGAAAACTTTTTCCACTCATCCGTGCCCCATTTCTGTAAACATATATATTAGATTCCTTTCCCTACACAAACGTTGCCAAACATCTCTATATATTTCAGCAGGATTGTAATTTGCAAGAATCTCAAAGTTATCATTAATCTCTGCAATAACGTGGCCAACTTTTCTTGCAGAATTTACCGATGCTTCCCTAGCATCCCTCATTCTACCCCTGTAGTGATCTTTCAGTGTATTCTCAAAACCTTCAAGAATTATCCCTTCTTAATTTGGATCCCATCGGTATTGAGTCTATAAAAAAAAAGTAAAAGTTGAAAATGCAAAATAAGAGTGAATGAGAAATAGATATTAAAAATAAATAATTAATATATTACCCTGAAATGCTCAAATATTTGGGTGACAACTTCCTTCGGAATTTTTATATAAGTAATCCAAGGTTCATTTGTTGACTGCCAAAATATCTTTAAGATCGTCCGATGAATACTTTGTCTCCCAAACCTACAATATTGAAATAACCATATAAGGATAATTATAACATCAAAAATCGTAAATTTATAATAATTAAGAAAAAGACTTACATGTACCCCTTTCATGTGATAATGGGCCTATGAGAGCCATTCGAATATGCATAATTTGATCCACCGTGTGTACCCGAATAATGGGGCATCTGAACCATTGGTGACTCAGGCTCATGCCCATGGAGTTTTTTTTTTTTTTTTTCCTTCAAAAAGGGGGCAGTTTTCAAAAAGCCTTGTAGAAATGGAGCTCTTTTAATTGTGTTTGTAGAAATGGGGTTCCTGGACCACAAACTCAATACGTAAATGAAAGGAGCCCTCACAAACTTACAACATTGGTCCTCTATCTTTTAAGATATGTAAAACATTTATCCTTCTATATTTTATTCTACATTTACCTAATATATATAATATTATCTAGCTTAAATATATTATTAAATTTTATAGATAACATTTAACTGTTTTTACGACACAAACGATCTCATTTATATTCCAAAATTTTGTAATATTAAATATTAAATATTATTTTATTTATCCAAATACAATTAACATATAAATATTTTTAGAATCTTATAAATAATAAATAAATAAATATGAATATTTATATATAAATTGTCCAATAAAATATTTGAACCTATAAAAGCTAACACTCTATCCAAAACAAAAATGTCACTGTTTATTGAAAACTCTTAAAATAAAGTTGCCTGAATTGTCATATTTAAATTTTTTTAGTTGAATTCATTTCACTTTTTGATGCTATAAATTTGATCTTAGGAGCTAAGGTTCTTCATCATTCTTTTAAAATTGTTTCCACTCAATCACACATTTCTCAGTTCTTTCATGCTTCCATATTATTCATATAATTAGTTCCTTCATATATTTAATATAAGGTATGTATAGTTTCTAGATATTTTGCATCTATTTTGTATGAAACTCTCTCTCTCTCTCTATATATATATATATATATATATATATATATATATATATATATGATACTAATTTGGATATGTTATCATACAATTTGTCTTGCAGTTACATTTATGGCTCTAAATCATCCATTTATGATTAGTTTCTATTGGGGTGGTAATGTTGAATATGAGAATGAAATCATCAAGGTAGACGAATCAACTGTGTGTGCTTCAGACATTATTAGGCAAAAAATACGGTACAAACAATTTCAAGATTTGGTTTATGCACTTGTTGGAGTCGAAAAATCTTCATATAAGTTGAATATATCATTATGTTACCAATATGCTGGGACGATCTAATATTGCACCACTTATAAATGATTCAACCTTAGACATGTATTATTTAGGAGAGACTGATAAAATTATTGGGGTCAAGTTTGTGTTGAATTTAATAAAATAGTGCCACCTGCAAATACTAGTTTGGTAGATCTCCTTCGTAATTTTGAAGTACCATTTCCTTTGCCGAGCGATGATAGATTTGAGCCAAATAATGATTTTGGATTTGATGATCCCAACTCAAAATCCAACAGTGAGTCATTAAGCCATATTGAGGAAGACTCTGATGATGTGAGTGATAATCCAGTTGTAGACTTTATGAATGATGTTGGAAATATAAGTGATGATGTCATAGAAAATTTAGAAGAAAACATTCATATAGATGTTTGGAAGGAAACAGAAAACAAAATCAGGTTGGGAATGCAATTTGAAAGTAATAAGCATGTGAAAAATGCAGTAATACTTTGGTCTATCAGTCAAAATAAAGAGTTTAAAGTGTATGAAAGTAAACATAACAAATGGGTAGCAAAATGTAAGACTGATGTGCGTAAAGGAGAAAGCTCTAGTTCTATGCACCATACAAAACATTGTCAATGGTATATCCGTGCAATTAAGAAGAAAAATAATCATATGTGGCATATTACACATTGGGTGGATGCACATAATTGTTTTGGATCTTGTACCGGCAATAATAATAGAAATTTAAACTCTAGAGTTATTGCCTCATACATTCTCCATTTCATTCAAAAAAGATGTTGCTTATCCGGTGAAACATGTACAAGCAGATATAAAAGATCATTTTCATGTTGACGTTACTTATTAGAAGGCATGTAAGGGAAGAAGAAAAGCCATAGAGACTATTTATGGAACTTGGGGGAGTAACTTTGTCGAGTTGCCCAAGTACGTACATACAACAATACAATTTTGGGTTTGTACCACTTCCTCATGTTGATTATTGGTTGGATTCAAACTAGACGATTGAAGCAGATTACTCAAAACTTTCCGTTCATCAAGGATGAAGGCGTGCAAACCGAATTCGTAATGAGATGGCCATTTGTCATCCTGATGAACCTCGCAGATGTACTATGTTTTTGGTTGATTGTGTTGTAATTTCATGTTTAGTTGATCTTGTATTTCTTGTGTAATTTTGTACTATGATTTCTGAATTTAAGTAATGTAATATCAATTATGTGTTTTCTTATTTCTTATTATTACAATATTAAATATTAGTATTAATGGGAATGTATAAATGAGATATTGTCACACCCCAAAACCGAGAACGGCGGAAACGTTTTGGGGCGGAGGACGTCATGTACAGTATCACAACAATGAAAAGTAGTAAACAAGCAACAACATCATCCATTGCATTAATAATATAATTATTATACAAGTGTTCTGTCAAATTCTGATAAACACTAATGCATAAATCAAAATGAAAGATGAGTCTTGAATGAGCTCCATCTTCCTTTCTCCTTGCATCGGTACCTGTCTATAATGACCTAAGGATACAAGAAATTTTGAAAGAGAGTATCAACTTTAAAGCTGGTGAGATCATAAGTATTTAGTGTCTTAATTTGTACGTAAGTATTTGTATGTAAGAATTTGTATATGAACTGTAAGTATGAAGAGGTTTGTAAAACAACTGTAAACGTTTGAAAACCCTAGAAATACCTACGATTCCTATTAGTAACAAAAGGAGTCTTCTACCAAGACTTAACTGTTCTCATGTAGTCTTCTACCAAGACTTAACTGTTCTGAATGTAGTCTTCTACCAAGACCTAACTGTTCTGAATGTAGTCTTCTACCAAGACCTAACTGTAATAGTATCACCCTTTGGTACTAGGGCAAATAACAATGTTAACTGAAGACATCCATAGATGTACATTTACCTTTGTTGCTAACAGTTGGGTATAGGAATAGTCAGTCCCCAAAAGTATACCTGTAATGGTATCAACCGTTGACATCCGTGGATGTGCTTTTACCTCTGTAGCTAACAGAGATTCTAGGAATGGTCAGTCCCACAATGTATCCTTGGGTACTAGGATATTAAATCCAATCTATCTCGTCGATTATGTGATTGAATCACAAGGTAAAGAATAGAATGAGGATTATATAACAGAATCTATACATATAAAATGTACTAGTAATTCCTGTAAGTGTACTCATGTACATGTGATCATGTGACCTTATCTATGTAATAGTATGGTAAGGTACTGTAATGTTCTAGTTGTAGTGTACGTTCTCTCTATCTAGCAAGTATAGTAATATACTGTAATGGTCTAGCCGTAGTGTACGTGCTCTCTATCTAGTAAGTATAGTAATGTACTGTAATGTTATAGCTGTAGTGTACGTGCTCTCTATCTAGCAAGTATAGTAATGTATTGTAATGTTCTAGAGAGTATGACTCATGAATGAACTGACTCATTGTATAGTATTGCGTTCTAGTAATAGTTCTAGTATCTTCCTAAACTACCCATATGGTAGCTTACTAGTAATATAACTGGTACGTATGAACATGGATGTATACCCTTGCTACCCAAGGGCATTGGATGAACTGGAAGGGCATTTATGACTATATATGTACATATGATATATAACTAATATTTAAACGACCTTCGGACGGATACCCGATATCCCACCAAAACCACATCTCAAGCGCGAAAAGGAAATAGGGTGGATAGCCTTCCTAAGTCTTTTAAACATTTCTTATATAAATACATATATAGGCATGCGATTGATAATATAAAACTATAAAATAAGTTTTGTAAAACCTTTGAACATAATTATTATCTAAGAAAAGATTGACTTGATGTCAATCAATAAAACAGTTGAAGTAAAAACAGTTTGAAGTAAGACTGTTTGAAGTAAAAGCAGTTTGAAGTAAAACGTTTTGATAACAACTTGGAGTAAAACAGATCGGAGTAAAATGGTTTGAAATAGGATCATACGGTGTGTAATGAACCGTTTAATAAGGATTTTTAAACATATAAAACATTTAAGAAAATCATTTGAGGAACCTGTTTGGTAAGAATGGTTAAAGTGAAGTGAATCATTTGAATGCTGCATATTAATCACATGTGATTGATATAATAACTAGCATAATTCTACTTATTAATCACATGTGATTGATACAATAATTAGCATGATTCTACTTGTATCCCCCCCATAAAACATTTAAAAACATTTAAAACATTAGTTAAGGGGTATGAACTCACCTGTGGTAAGTGGATCGGAAGGAAGTGTCGGATAAGTGCTTGGTGTCAAGTGAAGACTTAGACACGCACAAAGATCCTAATAACATATAAGGATATATGTATATACTCAATTAGTCTTTAAACAACTAATAAACAAAGTTAAAACACTCTAAGACATGTTAAACACTTTATACAAGTGTTAAAAGTCTCAAGGGTTGCATCTAAGTGTTGTAGGGAAAGGCTAGTGTGTTTGG